CATTGTTGCAGAGGTTTCGCTGTACCTTGTACGCTTGTTAATCCTCATTAGAGCCAGATAGCATGAATGTGTTCCACAATCTGCGTCGTCGTCCGGCCAGTTTGCTATACTCCTTGTCGAACCAATGTGGCCTGACTGGCCCAACTTTCCGATGATTGTGGGGTAAAATCCGGAGCACAACGATTTCCTGACGAGGATGCTGATGCTGATGATGCTGCTTTTGACGATAGTGATGATTATGATGATTATGACGAGGAGGATGACAATGACGATGGCAATGATTTTGGTGATGAGGAGAAGGATGATGAGGATGATCATGTTGATGATAATGTTGATGATGATGACGACGATGACGATGATGATGCACATGACCATTATCGTGATGACCATGAGGATGATGAGGACGATGACGAAGATGATGTGGATGATGATGAACATGATGATGCGAATGATGTTGACGATGAGGCTGATCCTGATCATGTTGACGATGAGGATGCTGACGATGATGGTGATGACGATGATGCTGATGATGTTGCTCTTGATGAGGATGTTGACGAGGATGGTGATGATGGTGATATTGACGTGGATGACAATGATGATGAAGCGTTTATATCTTCACTGCATAATGTGAATCAACTGATTTAGTCGTAACCCTTGCGCACCTATAAAATTATTGCTCACCGGAAATGTGTTTTAGGTTTATACTTCTCTCTAGTATCGTTCTACACAGTATTTGCACTCCGGACATCGCTGCAAAAAGCCGACAGACCCGAGTGGCGTTAAGAATAATTCCAAAATTCTGCTCGCTAAAACACGCAAATCCACCAATTGCCGAAATGCCTACGATTTACGGACCATCTAATGTATTTTATATTAAACTGCAGAAGTTTTAACTGTCGTGAATAGGATGTAGGCTTCTCATTTTTCTATCCGGTTCATCAGTTGAAAGTTTAAAAAACTACCTGCACTGAACATTCCCCACTTTGAATGATGAGGTAAATGATCTCTTGCTGTTGCAACTTTTCCAAGGTTAGCAGTAGTATCTTGTCTAAAGCTTAAATTGTTTTCCTGAGTAGCGAAAATACTTCTTTAATTATTGATTCTTGACCTTTCTCCACCTGAATAGCTTCAAAATCCCAAAAGTGGCCTACCTTACCTTGTACATTTCTGAGTTACCTATGGTACTTCTTTTACGCCAGTGCATATAGTAATTTCCCTTGCTGCTGCACAACCATATGTTGGCGTTTTAAAATGTCAACACTTTACTTCGCTATCCAACCAAAGCACCAGTCGCCATCGCGTTCACCGTTTCCGGATTACAACTTTGATTATGCCCCGATGTCTATTGTGGTTGTTGTGCTTGTTGACACTACCACAGGTTTTGATGATGTAAAGAGCACCATTACCGGCCGTTCTATGAAAGATTCTACCAAGTGCCGTACTGTAAAACAAACAGTTTTTACCCAGGTCCTAAGACCTGCAATACTGCTTCAAAGACATTTGGCAGATTATTCAATATGTTGGCCATCTTGAAACTCACGCCATTTACAGGCAAATTCATATCGCGGATCAGATGAACGAGCATCCAGACCGCATTTAACAATAGGCATTCTCGAAATTAATCTGCTTTCGAAGATCCTCTGGAATTAACCGAAGATCCCACCATCCTACTATCCATTTCGAGACAAGTAAACGCCTGCTCTACTTCGGTGAGTTCCTCCGTGTCTTCGAAAAACTACCCGTCAGCTCTCTGATTGTAATCCAGCCTAACACAGACGTAACTGGATGCGAGGCTTAGTCACATAGATCATTAGATTTGCTACTTTATCCGGGGTATCCTGTTATTATTACCTTAGTATATAATGATACTAAGGAAGTATGTTACCTGAAACCATATACTCTAATGTTAAATGAACGGTCGGCTTGCCACCAAGAGGTTAAAGAATACATCCTTCTAACTACCTATTATTTTAGGCCATTTGATCAACGGTCTATCGCTACTTGAGTTGTGACCATGCCTGAACATTAAATCTAGCCAGCATTCACTAATACGTAGACTGAAGTAGGTTTCATGTTTTTTTTATTTTCTTGCTTGGTGTAACTGAAGGAACGGGCTGCAAATGCGTTGTCAGTCAATTTTGTAAAGCTACATGTGCGCTTCACATATACGACAAACTAATACAAATTGAGTTTTCATGTAATAAAGGGTTTAGCACGGAAAATCATTAATTGGCAGAGGTAAAGAACAAAAGTCTGGTAACGCCACCCTAATTGGGCGCAAATATTTGGTTTAGAAATCGCTAGATTTAGGACATGGGCTTTCTGTCCGCTTCTAGTCCGGCAACCATAAACCTTGGGTGTTCGTCGTTTTTTATATAGCAGCAACAATGAGAAATGACTGCGTTGGTTCAGCGGCCTTATAAAGGAGACAGACACTGATGGATCCCCGAGTGCAAACCCATAAATCCTAAGTTGATGCTTAGTTGCCCACAGAAGTTGAGGTACACTAATTTTACATAAATAAATAGATAAAAGATATATCCCTCGACGGTGCGCCGCAAAATCCATCTGATTGGTGTGATCAGTATGTACAACGGGATGGCATGGAACGGATAATACGACTTAGAGGTTTGCTGAGCAGTTCCGAAACTGTTTTGTTGGGCTGATTGATCGGTCGTATCTTTCAAATAGGTGGATTGATTGGTAATAATAAATGACGATAAATTCAAATGTGCTAGTAAAGTAATAAGGCCAACGTTGGGGTCGTCTCCAGAGGATCTGCTTGCACAGAGGCTAGTCCCTCGAAAGGATTCACCCGCCCTGCTATGTCTGCTCTGCATGTGTGATAGTGTGGCTTTAAAGCAGATTTGCCATCACCACTTGTACTCATCTTCAGCGCCATTTTTGAGTGTATGCAGATGGATATTTATGCCAAGGTATGAAAAGGTAAATCATGCAGTGCTCCTCGACAGGCTGAGGATGTGCGGTGTGAGTGGCTCGTTGCACCAATGGATCAGGAATTTCCTTGTTGATCGAAAGTGGTGGGTCCAGGTGGACAACCACTCAACCGACTGGTATCCATCCAAGGCACTGTACTGGGGCCGAATTTTTTATCTGATCCATGTAAACGATGTGCCTCAGCTACTTCATTCACCTAGAGCCTTGTTTGCAGATGACTTGAAGGTGTGGAGAGTAATCAGCACACCCAATGACTGTGACATGCTTCAGCAGGAACTCCACCGCCCCTCCACGTAGTCTGCAGTGGTCGACCTTCCGAACAACACGGTCAATTAACAATTCATGAGGCTGGGTAAGTGTGAGCACAGTCGAATCTACACGGTGACTGGTCAACCGTTGCATCCCGCGCCTTTCGTGCGCGATCTCGGTGTACTCTCACGCTACGATCTAAACTCCATGGACAACACTAATAGGCGTTACCAAAACAGCCTTCGTATACGTTGGGCGCTCAGGCGCAGCTTCAGTACTTGGTCCGGAAAGATTGCCACTCGCCTCTTGGTCTCAATACTACGACCAATTTTAGAGCATGGCTCTGCTGGGTATTGTCTTATCACCCGGGGCGAGGTAGAAAAGATTGAGCGAGTGCAGCATGTAGCCACCAGGCTGATTCCCAACTTACGAGGTCTGCCGTACGAAGACCGGTGTAAGAAACTAGGGTCGTACACCCTAGCTTTTCGTCGACTGAGGTTTGACCTCATCATGACTCACCGGATATTACATCTGGGTGAATACCCTATGTTGTGGCCGCTGCTTCATCTGCGCACACCAAGCAGCACATGAGGACACCGGTATAAGCTCGTCGTTCCGGATTTGAAGCGGGTCGCTCACCAACTCTTTTTCGAACGCAGAGTGCTGAAAGTATGGAACGACCCTGCCACAGCATGCAGTAGAGGCAAATTCAGTGTCATAAGTTAAGAATTTCCTGGACAAACACTTTGCTGACGCAAAATATATCGAACTGGACGCAATATAACGGGTATTTGTCCCTGAGTGATATTAGCTGAAGCTACACAGAGCAATCTCTACTTGTTTCTTCTAACGGTTAATCAGTATTATGGCAGTAAAATTGATCGGCATTTTGAGTCAAGGACTTTTGGCACACGTCACCGAAGCGTACCAAACTCTGTAGGTAAGAAATAACATATATTTCCAAGTTTGGTGAATCAGCAGCTATCCAAGTTGCATGATCTCTCATTGCTTTCTGTGACACCGATTGTAGTTAACATTGAGTATTCTTACTAGTACACAGAACTTGTAAAATGGTTGCTCATTCAAAGATCACCACATTGCTTCATATAGAACGATGATCTTTAAGTGACTTTCTATATGTCAGTGAAGAGACGAAAATTTACTGGCATTTTGAAGAAATGAACTTTTGTTGTATTTTGGTGCACACAGCTATCTCAAACTTAAATAAATGCAATATTGCGATTTAGGTTAAGTTTACCTCCAGGTTTATCAGTTCAAGCTGCAAAGTATCATCGGTGCCTGTTCGTATAGCAGCATTTCTTCCTCGTTCATGTAATGCAATTTGCAGTTGTAAACAAAGCAATGTACCGTATTAACGATAAAAACATGCGGTCATCATGTGTCCCCACATAGATGCTTGAGTAAGATGATCGATCAATTATTCATGGGCATCACATCAAAACTTAGTGATTAAATGAGTGCACTTGAGTAAAAATAACTCACTGGAGATACTACGCGACGGATATCGTTTGTGGCGACACTGATTTGAATCGGTTATTTATTGTGTAAGACTGACATGGCTACAAAACTTAAACTAGGTGTGATTAATTTCTATCTATAGCATTCAATTCTTCCTACTATTCTCTAGTAATGTATGTTAATCTCAGGCAACTAGATAACTAATTTTTGGTAGGACGAGATGTTTAAACGCTTCACGCATCAAAGTAAATTTTTTGATTAGCCCGTATTTTGGTACGTACACACCATTATTCAGCCATAAGGACATGTATTACCTTGTACAATATTGTCCCCGGGAATATTCCGCTGCGCGTTAGGAGGTTTCGCAGATTCATCTATCTGGGGAGGTTGTGGTATAGGGGGCCAACCGTACACCATCCAGGAGGGCTGCACGCCGGAACCACCATCCTCAGATTCCTGTGGCATGCTTGGGTTGTTTACAGGCTGCTCTTGGTTGAGAACCTGTGATGCCGATTTGTTCTGAGGATTGCAACAAAAATGCACAAAAAGATAAAAGATCATTAGGTCATTTAAGTTATTAAACTGTTGTCTGACTCTGCAACAATACTTATGTTCTTTTTTGCCTGTAATGTGATGTTTTCGGTTTAAATGCCAAACACTGGAAGCTCTAAGGGCTAATTTAACCACAAATTAGGCGATCTATTTGCAGGAGTACAACCGTCTTTAAGTGAAGCCTACTCATTTGCTGGGTCAGATAGTGGTTAATGCAGTGTTTACTTAGAGTCTGGGGGCAAAAAGACATCAGCATTAAATTACTAAATTTTGGATGAGGCGGTATACATTGTGCACTCATTGCCTGCTTTAGGTGTTTGACAGCGGTAAAATTTCATAACACTGTTTTCACAAGAAAAACGTTGCCACCTTTGGGATAATTATCAAAAAAATGTAAGCATGATCATAATAAAGCTGCTTCACCAGTATAATCTAAGAATTTTAATACATCAGCTTCATTTCAGGCATGTGTGCATTCCTACATTTACTGCTGTCTTCATAGTAAGCAATTTACAATTCATAGCCCGCTTTTCATTAAAAGTGATTAACTCTAAACATGCCGATAACCAAATCGAAACAGGGAGTTCTTAAACTTTGGCACAATGCCCATGATGGTGGATACTTAGTGTTCACCACTCGCAAACATAACATTACCCGACTGGTTAGAACTTGTTTGAGCTCATCAGGTTGGTATAAAATGTCATGGGACACGGGGTCTCTGGAATGTCCAACGGAGTTTCTGTCTCTTGGCTACCAAATTACGAGAGGCTACCCTGGTCATAATGGTTAATGATTTCCAAGAAGAGTTATTGTGAAGCACTCGTTTTGTGATTGGATTACTATGTGTAGCCTCCTTGCAGACAACTCCTCGCATTGATCACTAGGATCACTGGATCATGGTTGAAGAAGATGGATACTGGATGTGAAAAGCCTTGCGCAGGTAATTTGATGGCAAATGAGGTAGTTTTCAGCTGGTATCGCAATGGCTACGGGTTCGAGAACTTACTATCCGCCACATGAAATCAAACAACTTTGAAACCCATCGTGGGGTGCGGTGTATTCGGGCTGGCAACACGCAATATCAACTTGCTTCATCAGTTACGGTCCTGGTGATCGAATTCGCCAAGATTCACTTCAATCCACTAAATTGACTTTGCACGTCGCATTACATCCACAGAACGAGCGTAGCATACTGATTCTTTCAATCAGCCTACTAACTTTGTTCCTAACCTAAATATACCGGAGAAAACATTATTTTCAAGCAGTTTGATAACAATTAACAAATCAAGCAAATGTATCACGTAGATCAACTAGACTATGGCAGTCTATTTCCACAGCATTTTGCCTGTATATCGTACTGGATATCAGATTATATTTTCTCTGGTGAACGCCGCTACTTCTGTCTTGCTTTAACTGGTACTCAATGAGGTAAACCCCTTGCAAGGGTTCTCATACCGTACATATATTACGAGAAGCATTCTGGGCGAATATAAGTGCGAAGTTTTGATAAAGCTGCCCACATTTTCTAATCACAAGTAACCTTTCAACGGGGAGCCAGGGTTATTAAACCATTCTATGTTTAAGTGCAAAAATACGTTCAAATGTATATTCTTTTAGCACACATCTAATGGTGCCCAAACAACTCACCTATTTCTGGTTTACACACAATGCTGTCACCCAAACAGAGGTTTGCTCCCGCTTTCCCCTAACAAGACATTTGAGATAGACACCGTCAATTATGTTACCAACCAAATCCAAGACTTGTCGGCCTCAGAGAGTGATCAGCATTTCTCTTGTCGCAAAACGGTTTAGTATTGAATCACGCACTACAAACATGGGAAGTTGTGCGCCGAACAGCCATTTTAATTGTGGTGAAGAGGGATTCGAAACGACGCATGTTCCTTTGTCGTTTCTCTTTAGTTTATTAAAACATGGTGGCAAACGAATCAAGACTAGTGAATAAAGTCAGTAATTGGCAAAGAAATCTAGTGGCATCTAAACCTGCAAATGATATTAACATAAAACAGTGACGTAGGAGTGCAATAGCATTGCCCTCTGCATGCAGGACATCGAAACGTTTGTAACCAGAGCAAATAGACGATTTGTTGCTCCCGCAATGCACGGTAAAATTCAGATAAAATGCATGGAGGAACAGAGGGTTAAGAAATTTTTCCTAATTCATTTCATTAATCTGTCGTGTATTTTAACCTAATTAGCACATACTCGATTACGTCACACGTTGGACGAGTATGGTAACCGTAAAATAGAACACATTTCTGCTTATATTTTTAAGGATTTCGGTTTAAGTATTGAGACCAGGTTCACCATTTGGACACACCAAAAATGACAGCTTTTACGTTTACGATGAGCAATCTGACCAACCACTTATTACTTTGCTAAAGGTAAGGTGTACACGAGAAACTTACATCACCTAGTAGATTAACCAAATACGAAGCAGTGTTACTAAGGTTAAGCGACTTTATGGGGCTCACCGTAAAAGCTTAGACTACAACCACCTTATAACATCTAGGTTATTAACCATTAAGAGCCTATGAGCTTCCTAGATCCATTTGCATGCAACAGCCTTCAAGAAATCTCTAGTCTCGCTTGTGATTTAATAAAAGCATCTAGCGAATGCCCTCAGCATTCAGACGATGTGCAAGATATTTCATATTCTATTCTATCTATCATCTGTGGAGGTTAGTTTTATCTTGCCCACAGTAATCTGGAAATTGCAGAATTTTTCACAATTCACAGCTTTGATACTGGGAAGAATATGTTGGAACGTGTGGAACGGATGTAATCTGTAGAAGTGCTTAGGAATTCATGACTCTCACATATTGCACTGACTACAAAAATGCGAAAAACTGTGTGTGGGATTCATGGAAATTTGCAATCATTGTTAATGTTGATATGCTAATTGCGCACCGTCCTGTATGACGGCTGATCAGACTGAATTACTTCCCATAGAATGTCACGTATTCAATCAGGCTAGGACGGAGATGGCTTAAACACTGACCTAACTGATACTTCTTAGACCTAAAAGTTTTCCTAAATCAAACGACCGCATACAAAACTGAGCACCCGTTATGATCCAAAAGCAGCTACCACTTTCCGCAAGGATGTAATAACCTATACTGACAGTGCATCGTCCTAAACCCGTCAGCTTTAATCAAAACTCCAAAGTTGTCCTATTAGATATGTCGAAAAATCCACCAATTACGTCTATCTGGTTGAACACGTTATGCTCCGCATGGAAGCATTTAGTGGGACGGATAAACATGAAAGTGAAATAGAGAGCATCGGACTAGGTAAACTGCTTTGTCACTTAGATTAACTTACTGCTTGCATTATTTGACATGATCAAGGATTTCCAATATCCTCAGTCAAAAACGTCTAGTTTCAAATTGCACGATAGACCAAATAGGCATTTGTCAACATAGCGGTGTTGCGGAGTCGCATAACAGGTTTCGTAAGATAGATCTCCGTGAGTAGATAGTAAACAAAATAAAAGATAACTGATTTGTCACTTGCTCACTTGACTTGTCACCATCACTACAAGAAAGCTATCTCAGCTGCAAACTTTTGGAATGCAAAAGAGTTCAGGTATGGGATGGTGATTGGTGTATTGATTGACAACCACTGATATACGGATCCTCAGTAGCGCTGATTTATTTTTGTATTGTGTATTCTTAAGCTTTGCTGTTGATATCATCTGTAAGCTTAGCAGTCCATGGATATCTTACATAGATGATAAAAGAACTAGGTTATCAACTCCAAATTGGTCTGTATGGCACTGTGTTTCACAAGTCTAGCAGAACATCGCCTTTTCAAAGCGACCGCGACCGTGTCGAAAACAACCGCCTGGTAAAACCATGAAATTTCACGTTGGTGCGTAAGCTTGATTTATGGCTGTATCACTGTTTATTTTATAAAATTGTAAATGCACCGGTTGGCATGTTATGCACAGTTTTTTCTTTTGTAAAGCGAAAATTGATTTGGCAGTGCATGGCTCTGTTTCCAGTTCATTTGTCTGCCAAGTACTTGAGTTAAATTAGGCATAAAAGCATGATGTTTGTAATAGGGTGCTTAACGTACCTGAGCAGTTGTGTATCTGTCCTTTACATCCATCCTACTTGGGGAACGCTGACCATGGAACCTTGCTGTTTTAGAATCTCGCGTTCCGGCAAGATGGCGGGCGTTCCAACTCATTATCGGCCCATATGCCATTCGTCTCAATGAAGTGTTCAACTCTTCGGCCTCGTCCAATGACTTTTCTGATTCAGGGGAAACTAATTAAAAGCACCAAAATGAAATCAATGTGTTTTTAAGATATGCATACTGATGTTGATATTTGCACAAGTTTAGCATCAATGGGGCTTGCAGCACAACTTCAATGATGGTTAATACGGAACCTTAAAAATGAGTACAATTTTCAGTGGTACTAAGCTCGGCTAATTAACAAAAATAGCTATACATTTTAATTAAATATGTGGCCATACAGGGGCAACAGATTATTATTCTGGACATCCCCTTGCGAAGTATTGATAAAACTGTAATACGTACTTTGACTAGGTAGACTCGCTTAGTAGGTTGCACACAATTCATCTAAGCTGGAAGCTGCAGACACGTACATAAATTACCGAACTTTGTCTGTTCTGCATGATTTTGCGGGATTTGCACCCAAGACTCTGTCTGCCTACTAGGAGAGTTGGACATATCTTCCTTTCCGGATGCCAGGTTGTAGGCATGAAGCTCCCCCGTCATCGCATCTGTGGACCAATGCAAATTTCTTGAAGCCCTCACCAAAAGTTCGTTGGCTCGATAAGTGGCAAGATCCATCTGTCAAAATTGGTGGAATTGCAAAATAATGGGCTGCATTGAACTTAGATCATGCGGAGTTGTGGTAATCAACGTTCAATGAACAATGAACAATGAATTTATATGGGTTAAGAAGCGTTGCTTTTCAAGTCCCGTTGGATAGTTGGTGGGGATATCAACATAGCAATAACGATGATAAGGATAGTAAAATAGTTAATACTTTAAATATGAAAATAAGAACTTATCGTTTGCTTCGCCGCAGTCCTGCGATCCTCTTAGATTCACAACACCCACAGTTCACAACAAATAATTCCATGGTAAACTCCTGGTGTAGGATGGAGACGTAGTGTCAAGTGACAAAGTGTAAGTTGATGAGTGCTTCGTCCAACCGTCTGTTAAATACTGTTAGTGTCGGTGCAGAGACGACTGATTCTGGGAGAGCATTCCACGGCTGACAGACGCGAATGGAAAAGGAATTTATGCGCCACTCCAGACGACTGTATTGTTCTGCAAGTTTTCATGAGTGGCCCCTCAGGTTTGTGTTGCTGCTGAGTTGCAGTAAAGGGCGGCACACATGATGTGTGTCTTGCAGAATCAAATATGCCATAATCAAGTCGCCTCGTAGTCTGCGATAGCTTCCACTGAACAATCCCAGTCGTTGCAGCCTCTCCCGGTAGGAAAGGTTGCGCATTCCAATTACGTTCTTAGATGCCCGGCGTTGTGGCTGCTCCAGTGCATTAAGGTCGTGTTTCAGCCATGGATGCCAGGCTTGAATTGCGTATTCGACATGGCGGGCGAACATACGCACTGAGCATTTGTCGAAATATGGAGCTGTTTATTTGTCTAAACGCCCGCCTCAACAGCCCGACGTGTTGGTTCCTGGTCTTCGAGGCCTTTTCCGATTGCCTGGAGCAAGCCAAGTCATCTTAAACCAGGACAGCCAAGCCACGTTCGAGAGTTGATTGTTGTAGTATATTCGTTCCGAGCCGGTATGAGTAGCTGTTCTGATGTCGAATGGAAAGCACCTTGCATTTACCAACGTTGAAATGTAATGAGTTTTGGGTCGACCATTGATGCACCGTATCTACATCACTCTGAAGCACGTGTTGGTCGGCGTTCGCCTGGATCCTGCGCCAGATTTTGATATTGCCGGCAAACATTAGGAAGTTTGAAGCGATTCCCTGTGCAAGGTTATTAATAAACACCAAAAAGAAACGTGGACCTGGAACTGAGCCTTGCGGCATGCCACACTCGACTTGTATGGGGTCCGATAAAGAACTCCGAACTCTGACTACTAAGATGACGGAAAGAAAATACTGTACATCTCACAAGACTAACTGTGGCTCATGCAGTATTTTCATAGAGATGGTGCGTCTAACAACACCATACTCTTGATCAACTTCCTCTAACTTGAATAGGAAAAAGCAGAACTACAAATTACTTAACAACTGATATGCTGTATTAAAATTAAATCATGCTTAATCCCACAAAATCAACCTGTCCAATGGGATTATGTGTTTACGATTGAGCGTCAAGAACAGCGTGGACTGAGAAGAATTTATGTGTATGCCACACAAAGTCTATTCTAGATTTGGGAATCTGTATTTACAGTATCCAATTTCTGGGATAGCTTAAGCCATAAGGCACAAGTTTATGTTTGAATTTTAATGTATTTTTTTGTACCAACCATTTTGACTTATCCATCGCAACTTGTTTAAAGCAGCGAATAAGCAGAGCACAGAAAATGAATGGCACGGACGTTGCAAGGTAAAACATTATTTCAAACTGTTTTCCGATGTGCTTTACAACCCTACTCCCTTAGCGCCTCAGCAAGCCACTCAAGGTTCTTCAAGATAATTTTCCTGTCATGAGCGTTCATATAGTTGTTGCATGCGGGTAGCACTTAATTCCACCAACGATAGCACATCGCAACGTTTCTTCCCAAAATATTGTGAAAAACATTTCTAACTGTCGTCGCTTAGGTTGTGAGTTCATTTTTGTCGTTGCAAAAAATAAAGCATTGCGGCATTTCCTCAGGAATATGATTAAGTCCGAATGACCAGTTGACAGTTGCTATCCTTTGCTTGCATAGTATTCCCTCTGCAGCCAGACATATTGGAGGTGGCTAACGCATACCTATTTTAGGTTTAAATATTCTTAAGCTGCTTTATCCTACATACCTAGTTTAAAGCAATATACAATTTGCAACTTAACGACTGTAGATGATCAATGTAGTTGTAAGTAAGGTAATGTAAAAGGCTATTTACAGTCACATTTATTCATCATGATCACAAAGTATAATCAACAAACCAAACATTTTGATTTAGCAGGTTCTAAACAAGTCAAGGGCTAGTTCAAATGAAAATACGCACCTGGACCAAGGTAATTGTTTTTTCGATGGCATTTCACAAACTATAGATTTATTTATAATCGAATATATATACATGTGTGCGTTCCGTTAAGCTTGCGTTTCAGGCGGATAAAACGCTGGTGATTCATAATAGCCTTTCGTTGCTTACATGAGTAAAATGGTTCTACAAATCGCGAGACCCATTTGTCAACATTGTCCAAAGTTACATCTTCTGCCGACATTAGATAAACCTGTATACTCACACACGTATAAAACGTTATACATAATCACATTCTGTATTACGGTATAAAAAACTGAAATTAGGCAAGTCGTAGATCAAGTTTTATTTCTAATCAAACTAGACCAGCGAAACCGGAAAACTTATCACTCTAAACTTTTCCATGAATATTCTATTTCATTATCAGCGATAAACTGTAGGAACGAGGCAGAAGTACGCAATTTGCTGCTTACATCTTGTTGCGCACTCGAAAAATGGGTCATCTCAGATGAAAAGTGCTGCGGCTTTCTATGCTGCAATGCAGATGCGTCTAAGCCATCCGATTTGTGCCGCTGCCACTGTACTCGAGGGTTGCGCTGATATCCATCATAGGCCAGTAGTTCGTTTGCAGCTCTCACCGTCTGCGTGTTCCCTCCAGCGTCGTCCATTTGAGCACAGAAGTCGCAGTTAGTAGCCAGAAACCTGAAGAGAAAGGGAAGTTTCCGTAGGCTCTGGAAGTGCAAAGTTTGTGTTTCACTTGCTTAAAGTTCTAACAAAATTTACTTTTAATATATGATTTATACTGAACTAAGTGACCGAAGTATCGGACCTGCAAATAAAGCAACACTAAACTAGTTTATGCGGAAATTGGTAACGTATTATTGCAAAAACTACTGCTAATTACCAGTCTCTGGCGATTGGAACTGTGGAATATAATAGCTAACAGCTAGAACACGTGGTTTCTCCGCTAAATGTTTGAATTCGAGATGATTTCCGCTACGGAATCAGACAACGCAATTTACAATGCGCTTCATTTGTACAAAAATGAATGAGTCACATCCCAACTAGTCGACGCGTAGGCCCTAAATAAGGAAGATATTATATTGTTAATACGAAGGAATTTAGGGCCAAAATCGTTCGTACTTAGATGTATAAACCGTACATATCCGTAGAATATATTGCACTTTATTCTTACGAGCTCTAATGTTAACCAGAATATTCCTCATCTGGTATGAATGCATATTGCTTGATTCATTTACATGTTCGCGAGTAATAAACAACCCCGATAGTTGGCTTTGGATTTTCCGACTTGTAAAAACCTAAAAACCAAATTTTATTTAATCCCCATCATTTTTCTTTTTGCTTAATTTCATCGGGATACCGTATGTTATATTCTGGCTTTGGCTTAGGAAGCGGTTTTATAACGACAGTTAAATATGCATGAAGTATTTAAGTATTCGTTGCCACGGTAGCCTAAGCGAACAGAAATATTAAGTACTTGGAAACCCTTAACAGAAAGTAACCAATCTGAGGAAATATCTTACCAAAGCAATTCAAGTATGGGTAGCCTGGAAGGCGCGTAAAATAAACTGACCACTTGCACTTTGCTGATTGACCTCCCGAATTAAAAAAACAACGTTTGAATGCCATGAAAATTAATGTGCTTGAACTCAGGGCTATTTTATGCTGTTTATCAATCTGAGTCAACAGTTTGTTAAGTCGTTTTACCGGTCATTATCACACCTAGGTGTCATGGAACTTCACCAGTCTCATCATTTCCTAATCAATCCACTGCATTAGTTAGAAATATAGTGAAAAACACCCAGTTAAATTTCACCATAAGCTATGTGGTTGAAAGTGGCATGACATTTTGTGTCCACCGGTTTTAATCTTGTACTCCGAAGGATGGAATCAATAGATATTGAAGGCTCGCGTTCATACACAGCCCACTTCATGGTCGTAGCACGCTCCGTCTTCTCACAGGCAGATGATGTTACTTTTGATCCTTGTGTTAGTTTAAACTGAGGACTTTGTTTCGAGGGTCTCTCCCCGACTTAGTGACTAAGAGTTCAGCTTGACAATGCTTAAGATCCTTCAGCCCTCGATGGTTCACATATTTGTAATTTTTTCTAAATGTTTACGAAAAGTAACCGAATAGTAAAGAAATGCTCAGGAGGAATTTGATGCCGAATGGAGGATAATTATGGTTAGTCAATTACCCTATCCCTCATACAGCGTCGAACGCTTTCCGTTAAAGCTTCCAATTGTTTTGGAAGTTGTAGTTAATTGAATAAACTTGTTTTATAGCAAGAGGCCTCCTGTATAATTAACAATGATCACAATGTAGCTGCAGCAGGTAATACAACTGTGTAATATAATGCAGTTATTACACGAATAAAATTTTTCTGGTAAACATGTAAATCAGAGGGAAGTGGTGACTGCTTTTCGAAGTTAAAACATTTACGAACACCAGCTATAGAATTACCTTAGTGACACCTGAATCTTTTGTCGCATTATTTATATGCATGTGTGAAGAACTTTCAGTGGGGCTCCGACTTGAACAAAAAGTATTCCTGGCAAAAGGTTGTGCAACCTAGCATGTATCGTTAAATGGGCAGCAAACATCTAGAAGGAGAACTGTTAGAAAAAAGACAACCCCAATGTTAACCCATCAATTGTGTGCACATGGTGGACCCTGTGTAACGATTAGTAGACCTAGTTTAGTTTGGGAAATTTATTGGTTACAAATGTGCCAGAACGAAGGCTGAATTATAAGTCACAACTGCCTTTTGTCCCCTATCCAGAACTGCAAAGATCCGGTAAGCTTTTACATGGGTGATCACCTAACGAATTCTGTTTAGTAAAAAGATGACAAGATTTGTTTTTTACCTAGATGCTTGATGAGCTAGGGTTTGGTTAGTCAGCAGTTCATTTAGTGTGACATTAAGCATGAGAGCTTGGATGCATGTTACGTAACCAAAGTTAACCTAACCTAAGATTCTGCTTCTGTCTTCTGCCAATATTTACAAGTTTACTTACCATTCCTGGGTCTACAAAATCTAAATTCGTCTCTGCTGTCATTCGCTCATATATTCGATAGAAGAAGTCAACAATCCATTTAGCAACACAAACTACCATGACCGCAAACACCCACTATGATCCATTAGCTTAGTTCACTCTTTTTAATTAGCGGGTCGGACCTTCTACCCAATTTATGGCCTGAAGGAATTATAACAGTGCAATTCCCGAACGGCCAAAGTTGCATTTTAGAGCCTTGTGGAGTTTATAGTTTGCCTTCGTGTGCATTATTCCAGCTTTGACCTTTGTTTTAATGTTCAAAGTATAGTAGTTGCTATACTGTATCAGACCAACGTGTATTATGTCGAAACTTTGGGGGAAATCGAAGCAGTAAGGTAGATTATGCTGGCTGTCTTTCATCGTCATACAGGGCGGTATTTCCTAAGCGATACCTTACGTAGCTAGTAGAAATCTACTTACAACATGGGTGAAGTTGCCGAGTTCAGTTAAGTCGATCTTGCGGTTTTAATTACGTTATTTGTTTACAAACTTGAAAGTTCTCATTTAATGTAACCACAGATGACTAGATTACACCGAATGGCCTGAACCAACAGAAACGACAACTTTCATCTTTATGGTCACACGAACTGTCTAATGGCGTGATATCTACCAAATTACTGAACGCATACGTTTGCCTATTAAGTGATTTGCTGGGCTGAATAAAGTGCAGTAAGAAGATTGGCATGATTCCCGCCAGACCTATGCAGCCACCTTGATTACCTATCCAAGCAACTGATCGGTTTTCACTGGGGATTTGTGGGTAGCAAATGTGTTCTTCAAATGTTTGTGTTTTCTTTATCCAACTTAACGGGTTAAAGTGGCTAATATGTCAATCTTGCATGCGGTTTGTAGTCGTAATTTCAAACATGCTTTCCGCTTGGCATTATACCAATACAGTCAATAGGATCGGACACCACATAGTTAACGGGTGTCTATGTGAGAAGTTCAGAGACCGATGCTGTGTTTTTTTGCAGAAGGATACCGTTCCGTCGTGAACTTCAGGTTCTCCACGGATATACGTTGCAAGGATACCGGATAATTTTGCTGACGCAGACGTAGGTAATTTTACGCAGTTCCGATACATAACTTTAACATCAGTTTCTACAGACCGTAGCCTTGATTACACAGTGCATTACAAAAGTGAGCTACCGTGCAAAACTGTTTTGGATTTAACTGTAAATTTGGTTAAGCAATGAGTTGCAACTCTCACGAATCTTTAAGAAGTGGTTCAGTAACGTTTAAAGTACAAAGTACGTTTATGCAAGTGTTTTGAGTGAAAGGAAATTTATGATAGCACCGATCTTCTACCTAACATTTTAATAGCCTTTGGACCTCATGGTTGTCTAGTCAGTAATCTAGGGAATAAGATTAAAGTTAATGGTAACAGTTAATGGTAACTGATGCTCGCACTGAGGCTCATTTCGTTATAAATATATTTACTGGTACATGTTCTATCATTTATTCGGTTACGAAGATAGTTTTCAGTTACCTTCCCGTGGTCGTTCCGTTCCAACAGTCTTCCAGAGCGTTTGGTGGGGAAGAGAGGTAGGGTGACTCACTGCACACTGCGGCGCTTGCCCTGGTCCACACTTCGGCCCATAGGTCTACCTGTGGAATAAAGACGAAGTATTTCCCGTGCAAAAAAAGGTAAGCCAAAACTGAGTCCGCCGTACCAACGCTTTCTGCTTCGCGAACACCATCAGTAGCTCACTGGGCACTGACACAGCGTGGTCATCCTCAGCTACCCAGATTCGAAACGGTGGTTATGTATTACAAGGTCGATGCCTTATGCTCTCTGCTACTGGCCGGTGAATGGAGGATTGAAGTTGACGAAAGTATGGATCTCTTGTCAAGTCGATCAAACTAGAACTTCTGTAACATTAAGCTAATAAGCTCCAAAGATATCAGTATGCGCGTTACGGTAAAGATTGTACATGGAATGAATTAAGAAACCGACAGATGGGAGTTGAATGGATTGAATTCGACCAGAAAAGTCGTTCATATGCCGACAAATCATTTCAGTATATCTTGTGACATAATGGGCAACTAACCACCGATACACAGGAATTTCCGGGCTTGTCTACGCTTCCACGGTTGCAGTTGGTCTGAACTAACTGATCGTAAGTACGGCCTACATAGTGAAGTGCCTTCTCTGAAGCCAACTGTTGGTGGCTAAATGCAACTGGACGGGAAATGCTCTGGGCAAAGGTTAATTATAAAATCAATACGTTTCACCCGAAATTCAACGAAACATTTTTATTTTAAGCAATAGAACCTCAAAGAATACTTGACGGCATACTGTGGAACGCATTGTGTTAATAAACAGTCGATACGTAAGCATGGCGGTTTTATTAGATCGAGATACCCAGATACCTGACCACTTGTGGGCTAGATAATATAAGGGGCACCTAGATTCCCTTGTTTGCCCCCTCCGTTAGATTACTAATGGAAACTTGTATGAATACCTTTACATAAAGTCCATGCTGGTACCACGTTTAATTTAATGGCGAGCAGCGTATTCACCCTGAACAGAAATAGTTCGCACCAGTCGCTCAGTGTATATCTGCCCCTTCCCACTTGATGCGAATAATTTCTAAAGGCAACAAAAAGTTAGCTGGTGTAATTGAACATTCATTTTAACGTAGCTTTAGGCCAATTAGACGGATTGTCCAACCAGGTTTCACTAATGAAGGATAAACTGAGAGACTGTCATAACGGATATGTCTCTTGCTGCTAACCCATCATGGTAACTGAAGACATTAACTATTGAGATTATGTCAAGCTTAGGTAGTTTTTCGACGAATTCCATGTTTAAGTGGTGCGCCTTGCTATGAGAGAGAAAATGGCAACGAGGTAATGTGAATTAGAACTTCTTTACAGTTTAGCTGTATGAATAGCAATTGTATTCAGCATTCCCGCATTTATTTCTAACCAGTCACTGTTTATCAAAATTTGGAGTATTCGGCATTATAGGCAAGCATTGCTGAGGGTATTGCTTACGTGCATTTCATGTTTTAAGTAAAAGTGAAATGTGTCCATACAAAATTATCACAACGAGTATGAGTATAGCAAGAAAGTTATGCTTATGAATAGCTAAAGGAGAACATAAATAGTTGAGTCCATAGTTGAGCCCATATTACCCAAGAAAGCAGGCCCAACGCAATTGTTTAAACTCTTTAAATTCGAGTAACAACTGAGCATCTACAGGTTCTTGCTTGATGGCAATGTAACGGTTCTTGTCAGAGAAAATATGCTGGCTGTGTGGATCAGCAGTTTCTATATAGTTGCACCTACTAGACAATCATAACTTAACGAGCTGTTCATTTGTTCTCTTTTATATGCTGAAAGGAGTAAATAGGATATTCAACACTAGTACAAGGAAGGAAAGTACTGTCTAGGGGTGGGTGAATTTCTGCAAGTAAGGACAGCACTGTTTATTCGTAGGAGGAAAGCAACTTCCCATTTTACGTGTCCTTTTGCGGAATTGACACAAACAGTTTCGATTCAATCTGTAAACGCACTCGTTTACGCAAAGCTCCACCGACTGCATTGCTTTTCTGAACACGAAAGTGCAGACGCGCGCTGACCGATGTACCGCACCTGTCAAACGGAACAGCTGCTAAAGGTGAACTCTGTTTATCATTCTTCTTCAATTCAGGGACGGCACTAACCTGGATTTAGTTGGGTGACACTGGATTTCTCATAGACAGACGGATAATTGAGTAAACTATTTCCAATGAAGCTTATTCTTAGAAGACAACAAATCATTGACCAAACACATCAAGTAAGTCTGAACCGTGCAGCCATTATATTAAAAAGCGTACTTGAATTGATGTCACTCAATGGCAGATTTAACAGGAGGGAATGTTGCTTGAATTAGCAACAGGAGAATACACAGCTCACCAATGCTATATTTGTGGACGAATTGTTTTGTGTGATAAGGTTATGTGGTGCAGCATGCTTTATGGGTTAGGCCTGAGCTATATTTTCGCTACAAAGTGTCTTATTCATGGATTGGGACGTCTACTGAAGTGATACTGTCTCATCATTTCAGAGCAGTTGAACCGATTCAAGTTCGCTTAATGAATGCCTAGTAGTATGTGCTATCTGTTTGTCACCTCCTCACAGTGTGAGTTTCCACCAACTACGGTGACTTAAGATAGGAACCTGTATTTTTGGTAGCGAATTATGAATTGGTATCTGCAATGCCTGCAGGCAAAATACTGCCGAAATTTTGGCTTTTACTGTGGGCGCGTTGGGTTAAGTTGTAATCATATATATCACGCCATCTTGCATACATACATACACACATACAAACCCTCGCATCAGTCGATTTCACGTATAATGCTTCCACATAGTTTGTTTACTGCTTTGTATTTTCATTTTATTTGAGTACCCTCATAAGGCAAGTGTTCTCAATCTCCTATCGTTTCACCTGCTTTATGGGCACGCCTCACAGGTAGGCAAAAGCACTTGCACTTTTATTCATTTGTACACAGGTAAAAATAAAGAATGGCTAACTAGTTGCACCCTTGGGTACAGTAGATGTTGCAGCTATAGTTCCCGATAAAATGCCGCATTTTGCATTGTCGCTTTGTTTAACAAATGACTTGCTATGAAGGGACCTCCATTCCTGCGTGATATACTGGCTATATTTGCTGTGCATGTGACAAGTAACTTTACATTTGCTGATTTGCCTAGGCGCTAAGCCCACTAAGACTTATCCTACGTGTGTGAAAACAACCGGGTTTTGAGCTTCGATTTCCCTGGTCCTGAGATCATCTTCGTCATCCACCTCGATTGATTTGATTTGTTTGCTAAAGTCTCTTGAACGGTATATAATTACTTTGTTGTTGTTTTAGTACTTGTGATACAACGCAAATGCACGCGTCTACCATTGGTCGTCTTCGCAATGTTTTGTCCACGTAATTACTTGTTTGATGCAATAAGCTTGAATGCCGGCACGCTGGTTCTTTTACTAGTTTCTAGAAGGATGAGTTACGATATCATCTTATCAGGGCTGGGCGCTGTGCATGATTCCATCACGGAACATGGAACTATTAATTCGTCGCCGTGCAGAAGTTGTCAGGTACGCGTTTCCCCTACTCTACCCCCATGATGTGAATGTTGAAGAGGAGTTGACTGATACTGAATTCATCGGGGCCACCATTCGCTTGCCACCTATCTTTCTTGCTTTCGATTTACACCGAATTTCGCGCAGTGTATTAGGCTATGAGTACGACGTGACAGACCACCACTATAGACAAAGTTTCCACCTGATTCGTTCGTTCTTACACTGGCTTATAACTCCAGGAAACGAATGCTATCACTTATGTACCTGGTAAATGGTTGTGGATTCAATTTGTTTTTAACTCACAATTTAATATGATAGTTGGCCGTGCTAATGGAGAATGCAGACACAAGTTTGTCGACAGACACTTTTTGAAGCGGCAGGTATAGTGGTTTTTAATGACAGAATTAAGACACTACGCTTATATCGACCCCTATCTTAGTATCCTGAAAGTGTGAGTGAGAGAAGAACTCAAGCCTGCTTGTAGTTATAACACATCGGTTCACGCGCATGTAGATTCAATGTTCTATACTTTGTAGTAATGAGTTCAAATCCTTGTGCCACAACACTACTGTTCCTTATTCATCATTTAAGATAGTGAATAGCCAGTTCGGTCGATACATAGTGCTCTCTATTGGAACATTATAAATATGTAATATTGATTGCTATAGGAAGACTCAAACAAACCGGCCAAGCCATGGAAGAAGTAGAAGTGAGGTTTTACCAAGAACGATGACTTGCATTTTCAAGGCGGAAAGCCATCCTTAATTTACTTTATAAATCTGAGTAAATTCACACTGTCTCATGAAATTTTTAAGGATATTTAACCGCAGTTAGCTGACCATATAGAAAAGAACTCATCTTGTAAAACCAATAATAGACATTATTACTATTATTGATATTATTGATCTTATTATTAGTTAAATCATGTGCTTGTATCTTAAATAATGTGACAACCATTAACGTCCTAGATTGAATAATTTTAACTTATGATTACACTTTGGGATTTAGTGAGGCCAAATAAAACGCATAAGCTGAAGTAAATTGGTCTGCCAGGCTTCCTATTAGGAGACCAGTGTGGTTAGCATAGTTTAATTGCACTTCGCCAGCATGGCCTTTCTAGATAGTCAAACAGAGGTTCGCACATCTGAGTTACTCATTTAGATTATGCCTATGATAGTATGAAGTTTAGGCTGGCGGATTATTGTGCCGACTGGCAAAACGGATATGTGTAAAGACCCGTGCTTACCTTCAGCTGCAATGATCCAAGTGACTCTTGTTGCCTTTGCAGCTGTGTTAACACGTCCGCATTGGACGTTTCGGAGTGCGCTTCTTCCTCAACTGACTCACTAAGACTGAATAGTTCCAAAAGCTTTTCCGTCCCGGAGCACTGTGGTTGGAGCTGCGAAGTTAAACATAACACAACGGTCGATACTTGTGCCAAATCTAGTTGGAATACGCCCAAACAGCCGGAATTTCTATCTGCACATCATTACGAAATAATAACTGAATCCATCGAATAAGAACTCCGTGTTATTTTTGCTGCCTGGTTTTTACGTCTAAGTAAGGGACAACTACATCTTTTAAGGGCGAATTATTCTTTCGCTTTTGCGCATCCTGCATGCATTTACGATTTGTCCGGTGTAGCAATGAAAACATAGGCGCGCAAGATAATTTAAAGTTAAAACAAAAATAATATCCATCGGAAGAATAAGAACTAATAATTCAATTAATACTAGTGGTTGCTGTTACAAATACAGCGATCTCAGCCGAAATCAACAGAATATGCGTTGCGATGGACAGCCGTTTATCGCGAACAGTAAATAATTATATATATATATATATCCGTAACTAAGGAGTATTAACTCCACCTTTTAAGTTCATGCGTAAAGTTTGGAGAAACACCTGGGTAGAATTCCGTTGCTATAGTGCGCAACACAGATATGCGTCAAGCTTTAATTACAAGAGCCCCACGGCGTCAATGTGTAGGCCCACTATGAATCAAAATCTTCTTAGTTGCAATATCATGTGTCGGGAAATTGGATGATGATACACTGGTTTTTGCACTAATGCTTTGGTGCCTTTTAGCTGTGCTAGCATGTATTTGACGTTGAGGTTTTGCCAAAGTTGTCAAAACGCAGGCAGGAATAGCACTCAAGCCTAGGGTACGTTGGTTGTCATTTGGATGATTGTATCACCGTCACGACTCCTGAACTGAGATAGCGTAGTTTTAATTCGCCATCTACTCCAAGTGGCTGCATGACAGAAATCCATGTTTCCGATTGCATTTTGGTTAAATTTGTATGCAACGCTTCAGCGCGTACTGAATTGGGAACCGTGTTTGTTTACGCAAATGTAAAAACGTTTAAAAGTCTCGTACTCTAAACACACGTCATTGTCTTAAGGAAACAAACTTATTACCATGGAACGGGTGGAGACTGCTCCAGTATGACAGGGAAAGAATCATAGTTATCAGGTTTGCACAATGAAGCCGACGAGAGTTTTTAAACGTATCTGAATCTGTACGCATGGTTTTAATCTTAACAATACCTTAAAGGCAAGGTTTTGACAAAATTCTGTCACACACATTACCGTAATGTCTCCATATATAGGGTCAACTTCATTGTACTGTCCCATAAACGCAACCATTACACCACCTTGCAGTTTGACCTATTGCAGACGTTGTTTTCATATGGGTAGTAATTGCTCAATCGCGTGCAAATGTTGGCCAGTGGTGTACACATAATTTGGGGTGTCAGAGTTCGATCCACACCGATCCACCTCCAATTCGGATGCGGTCCGTGTGATCGTAATGACCGTTGTCTATGTCAAAATGAAGCGAGGTTTGAATGGAGATTTCCTCTCCCAGTTTAACCACACAGCGCGTACATCCAATCCAAGTTTGAATTCTCAGTCAGCCTTAAACTGACCTGGGGTAATAACTCCATCTAGCCGATGGTTTATTGGTCAATTTGTATGCACTTGTGTTTTGTCAGACACTGCTCTGAACCAATATTATTGCTGGTTGTGGTTAAGGGCATTGAAAGATGGTAAGAAATTCACCAGTATTCGTCTTCTTAGTACGCTTTTCAAATTCTTAACTATTACCAACCGTTTCAAAAGACAAACTTGTTGAAAGGTACATTCGTAGTCCTGTAAGATAAACAGTGGAAACTTGTAGGATTACAAGCTAAGTGTCTAGAAAATAAAGCTGGTTTTGTTAGACCCAGCAACTTTCTCGAATTAGCGAAATTATGATCACTCCCACCTCGAGGTCATGAGCTGCCTGCTGACTAAGCCGCTTGTGTTGATTTCGTGACGTCACCGGATGGGCAATCGCAGTGATACGCAATGCGAATGTTTTACTATGTAAGCAAATGGTCTACATAGTGGTAAGGTGGGATCAGAACTGTAACATGGATTAAAGGGGCGTTTTTCAATGCGACCCCGAGGGAAAAGGAAGGATTTTTCCAATAACAGCTATGCAACTTTATAACTAGTTATGGGTATGAGCACACAAGCTTGAGGTGCAAAATGAATAATGGGAAATTCACCCCATGACCATGGCAGTCTTAAGCTCACAAATTGTTTTGCTGAACATATATCCGACTTACTGCCACATGCACGGCGAACCGGAGGAAGCGAGGATTGGAGTGACGTAACACAATGGTGAACGCTCTTTCGTGCTCTATCCGGTGAAGCGTGACTAGTAGGTGTCTACCTACTGTGGAAGCTTGCGGCCTGCGCGAGCAGGAAGAAGCAGGGGAACATAGATGCTGGTCAATTTCACCTTAACACACATAGGTACTGGTTCATTTGCTCCGGAATTCAAAGACCGACCAGTTCTGCTTATGTCGCTGGATCCGCAGTCAAACACGAATTAATATATATGCAATGTTAATTGACCCTGATCGCTAATGGGTAGCTTACTAGGCACTGTACTCCACGATTTCTTTATGTTGATGAAAGTAAGAGGCCTATGTACAGAAATAGCCAAGCTTCCATACAATAAGCTCTATGCGGATGAAATACTGGCCTTTTGTTCATCGGAGCAGCAGATCGTGCAGTTGGTGAAGCAGCTTAATGGCGCACAGGCCCATTTGCGAGGCACCTGTGAGATGGAACAGAAGAGTTGTCTGGCATTGTTGGACATCCTGATCAGTGGTCGGGATGTCGGTCTATGTAAGATGCAGTCTATAGAAAAGTCACATGGTCCGGCCAATACATACATGGCACCAGCTTCACACTAGTGAGGTACAAACGGATACTCGAGAAAACTTTCGTTAGTCGGGCTGGACGAATTTTTGGTGGATTATCTGCCCGATGAGCTAAAGTTAATTCCAACTACCCTCATGGCGAATGGTTATCCTCGCAGATTCATAGAGAACGAAACCAACGTTAAAACGCTGGCGACAAGCGTTTTCACCAAACTTAGAAATCGCATTGGGCTTCGGACAATTGCAGGCACTTTTGCAGCGAAAGCAGACCAAGTTCAGGGGGATGTTGACGTAGAAACCATCGGTACAGTCAAGCTTAGGATTAGGGACAAGTGAGACTATCCTCTTTCCCGAAACGCTGACTCAGCAGATCAGTGAATTTCATTATAGTGCGGACACTGTCGTAATATCCGTTAAGTGATTTTAAGAGCATGAAAACATGTTTCGTGTCGAGTTCGAAAATGTACCATAAGCGAAGAAAATTCGCCCTATGCTCTGGAAGTTGAGTGTCGCTGAATACGAAAAGGTAACAATTTGCATGTGGCAAAAAATGAGAACTGACGTATCCTTCGACGAAATTGTGCCCGTCCTCGCACAAATTTTGACGATCAGACATCCTTGTTCAGCATCCGGTGCAAGTCTTAAGATGGCCAAGTAAGAAAACGAAGATTGAATCACCCACGCGAGCCGTGTGAATCGCCAGTGCTGACGTTCACAGTTTTACAAAGTGACCGATGACCAGTACAAGTGCCTCGTATACGTGCGCAGCCTATAAGCAGCCAGCGATGTAGACATTCGGACAAGTATACTGAACAAGATGGAATAGAACCCTGACGTCAATCTGTTGCAGAGAACCAGTAAATTCCAAACAGTGACCAATCGGAAGAACAGTACGTCAATTCTTCTGCAGGGATCCAAACGCAACCGTCACGACCTGATCTGTGCAGTTAGCGGCAGTTCCCAAGATGAACTAGTTCCTGTGAGTCATTCAGATTGCAAACCTCCTTCTGCTTGTTGGTTTGGTAAAGAATAGCACATTGGCCAGAAGTGCCGTTTCGAAATCACATTGGCAATAGTTAGGGTAAACGGGGCACAAAGAGTCGTGTTGCCTGGCAAATCGTCTCATTATGACTAGGAGGAAGCGGAAAAATTATAAACCGTCCAGTAGTTCCAATGGGACCAGAACAGCCACGGTCACTTCCAAAGTTGATGGGCTCATCAGACGTAGGTATGCGCCAGTGGAACTCAATGGCATACAAACCAACTTGCAGCTGGATATCGCTTTAGATGCAGCCCTGATCCCCCGCGATACCTAGTGCACTCACGGGCATCCGCCACTGATACAAACACGACAAACAGTACAGGATATGTCAGGACGTATGTTAAAATTACTTGGTCGTGAAACCGTCAAGTCAGATTACTTGATCAAAATATCCACGAAATATGTTTCCTGACAGATGAGCCTAGGTTAGATCTGCTGGGACTAGAATTGTTGCATAGCTTGGAATTGTTAAAGCCGTCAATGAAAAGTATATGTCAGCAATCGCAAGTCCATCAAGTGTTACCATCATCATTCCCATGCAAAGGGGTTTAAAGTTGTAGTCCATCGATGAGACGATGGCGTACTGAACGGTGCAATCATTTCAAGACTGCTGGCATGAAGTACGAGGGCGGATTCCGTCGACCGAGGAAGAGGTCGACAGAATCGGTGGTAAAGCAGAAATGGCGGAGTCAACCACAACCTAACGGTTAGAAGCAAGGAATGGATAAGACAAACAGATCAGCGAAGGACGAACCACGGCAAGATTCAAGGGCCCGAAGACAACATACAACGAACACCAACCAAAGACAGACGGAAACCATCAAAGCAACTGACTGATACCGAGACAAAAGTTCTGAATCGGAGCAAGGATGTACGTTACGGAAGCAATTTTGATTCGGAAGAAAACCTGTTACGGTGGCGCAACCGCCAACTACGATAGTGCCGGTTAGCAGGACGAGACTAGCCAGTCCACGAGAACAGCTGACAGACTCGTTGCCATGGTCAAACCGGGAGCTGATGAAATCCTGCATCAGCTGTCCCCTGCGTTGTTATGCACCTTATAGGAAGCTGAGGAAACCTCGCGGAATTATTCCAGGTGAACATTGTTGGGCTTGGGCAAGCAGGTAGACAGTCAAGGGCCAA